GATTTTTCGTGGAACCCCTATGAGACTTTTGTGGAACCCTGGGTTTATTAAACACAGTTTGGGAACAGCTGCTCTAGATGTTAGTGTAATTTTGATTGCACACCATTCCATTTGGAACTGATGCACATGTGATATATTAAGTGTTGAAGGTACTGAAACTGGGCACCACTAACTTTATCCAGAATTGTTCTTTAACACATTCTTTAACTGTTCAACAATAGGTGCTGCAGTGAATGAGTCACTGAATTACCTTCTTGGATTTAATTATCTAGAAGCTGATTACATCATTACCTCATTTCTGTGGGTCTGAAATACTAATTCATTTTGTCACTTCAGTTATCCATTTTGCCGTTTCTCATGCAGTGTTTTCCTAAGGAACTGCTCCAAAGAGTGATTTGTTACCGAGTCTGGCCAAGTAATCACTATCTTACATGGAAAATTCTGGCATGAGCTGTCTTTCTGCAAAAACATTTAACTTGATATTGATGGTTCCCTTAAGCATTAAGTACTAGCACATTAGAAACAGTAAACTGATCCTGAATGTGGAGGCGCGTGTGATATGTAAGCACCATTAAGTCTCTGTTAAGTAGCCATTGGGTTGCAGCCCATGAATTTGTATTGCACATTCATGCAGCATGTGCAGGCAGGGTCTATGGAAGTGGTCGCTGGTATGATTGGCAGGTGAACCATTCAATCATATCCGGTCCAATGTATACAGTGCTACTCATTGGCACACGATGGAGACAAGTCGAATGGGAGGCAGGAGTGCGAGTACACCTCTGTCATAGGTCAGGCTGGTCTGTAGGCCCCCCTGCCACTGTCCTAACTTCTTGAGGCAACAGTGCCAGTGCAGGTTGGCAAGTGTGGGTTCTAGTACAGTTGGGCCTCCACATTTGTGGAGCTTAAAAGCACAGGTCCCCTGCACAAGTGGAAAAACTGCTAATATAGCCCCAAAACCTTAACTAATACTGATGACCATACTTGTCCTGGATTGCTCCTCCCTTCATTCTCACTCTCTTTGACCTTGGTCTGCTCCAGCAGAGCATCTCTTCCTCATTTATTACATTCTTAGGTTCTTATTCCCCACCCTCCCTTTCACTCACCAGCGCCTCCTCTTTGCACCAAGGAAATGCCAAAGGGTTTTCCCTCTCTGGAGGCACTCCCTCTCTCCTCTTGGTTCTTCCATCTCTATGATTTCAATTGAAATTCACTCTCAGTTTTATGCAGCAGGCATAAAATTCCTTATATGTCCTCATGCCCCTTAAGATCTATGGGAGAAGCCCTACTCCGGGAACCCTCTCCGGGAAGAGAGGTAAAAAGGTCATCAACTCGGAGTAGGGCCTTCTCTGCTGTGGCACCCAGACTCTGGAATGTACTCCCCAGAGAGGTATGCCTGGTGCCAACTTTGTACTCTTTTTGGCACCAAGCCAAAACTTTTTTATTTAAACTAAATTTTAATAGTTTTTAAGTTTAGTCGCTCTGTTTGTTTTGTGATGTATTGTTTTGTTCTGTTTTATTATTTATTTAAATTGTTTTAATTGACTTTTTAAATATTGTAAGCCATCCTGAGATCTTGTATAATAGGACGGCATACAAAAGCTTTTAATAAATAATAAATAAAATAAAGACTCCAAAAAACCCCTCCTGTATAATTACTGATGGAAAATTCATGAATAATCAAATCCATGAAAGTCAAACTCGCAAAAGTTGAGGTTTGACTGTATTATGTGATATCCCTTTAAACGCTTTATTATAAAGCTGAGAGAACCCCAGAATTCCTCCACCATCTGTGAAACGATAGAGCATAGAGTATTGCTTTATTGAATAGAGCAATAAATAATTTCTCATTTGAATTGCTTATGTGATCAGCCAGATGAATCAAATAATTGAATTTACCAGCATCTAAAGCAGTTTGCAGCTTTTGGGAAGAAAGTTTGACGTAACTGTGGAGGATCTGGGTTCTAGCTTTTTGCTTAGCTGCAAAACTTGGAAAAGGGCCTCATACAGGTCATTTTCTTTCTATGCCAATGAATTTAAAAAGTGTAATAATCTCTCTTTACAGTTTTGTCTGCCCTGCTAGTTAAACAGGTTTGGTGCTGTGCATATATTTAGAACAAGAAAAAACATCATCAGCATTCTGTCCGTAGCTATGACTGGATAGCCTTGGTTTATGCAGTTCAGGAAGTTGAACAATGCAGGGAGCTGCTGTCTCCTAAATAGGTCCCTTGGTCTGTATAGCCCCACAATGTCAGCATTGATCTAGAAACGCTTTGCAGGATTTCAGGCAGGAGACTCCCCCAGCCCAACCTGGAGCTGCTGGGGGTTGAAAACGAGACCTTCTGCGGGCGGGCAAACCATGCATCTTACAATTGAGTTATGATTGTTCTTCAAACAGAAGCAGACCACATTTTGAGGTATGACTGGGCATAACACATACAGGTGCCTTTTCTGTTGTAACTCCAAGATTGTGCACTTAGGGCCCTGGGAGATTTGGTTGGCCACCTCTTTATTGGCATTTTGCCACCAGTTGGAGCTCCTGCTATTTTAATGGGCCCTTTGTCTGCAGCTGAATTTTTTAAAAACACTCTGTTACTTTTAATGAATTTTTTGGCTGTTTTACACTCTCTTTTGTTTGGTATGCTTGAGTAATTTTATAGATTTACTGAATATTGAGGTGAGCAGTATTGAACAGAAATGCAGGATACAAATTTTCCTCAGAAATAAACACTTCTGTTCAGAATAATTTTTGTTGTCATATGATGACTTAATGCATGGGTCCTCAAACTATAGCCCGCGGGCCGGATCCGGCCTGACATGCCCATTTATCTGGCCCCCCTCAGAGGTTTTGGATTCCCCACGCCCACCACTGCCTGCCTCACTGCACGCACGGTGAGGCGGCGGCTTGCTTGCTCGGAGGTCATTTTGGACTCGCTCGGAGAAAATGGTCTTCAGGCGAATGAGCTGCTGCGAGCATGCGTGCCAATGATCTCCCGCCTCACCACTCCTCGCTGTGCACACCTGCCGGTGCCTTGCCACGCACATGCCCGCTGCCACCTCGCCGAGCGCATGCGCGCCTGCCGCCACCGCCTCACCGGCCCGTCCCCACGGACACTCCCATCTCACTGGCCTGCGCCTGCCACCGCCACCTTTCAACTGGCCCCCTGTCGAAAAAGTTTGAGGAACCTTGACTTAATGAGACAGAGGATATCTGGTATCAATGTCCACTATCTTAAACAAGGCAGTTAAGGTCCATGTTAATGTAAGATTACCAAGTATTAAGGGCACGGTCTAGTAAGCACTGGTTTGCAAACAAACAAAGCTATAGATGGAATTACTTCTCTCTTCATACCAATATTATGTTTTTCAAGAGTGCAAAGCCTATTCCTTCAACAAGGCTAGAGAAATAATAATTATAGTGGTAGCTAAAGAGTATACATGGCCTAAAAAGCCCCCTTGCAACTTCAGAATGATAATTTTGAAAGAGCAATAAATGAAGAGAGAGAAAAGCACCAGAGCTGCATGTTGATTATATTCTTATTTGCACTAAGTAAATATGTGGAAAGGCCAATAAAAAGTAAAGTAGAAGAGTCAATAAAAACTTAGACTTTGCAAAACAATATTGCATTGCAACACGAAACCGCATTTTTATGCATGGGGAACGGGTCTGAATGTGCACTTGGTTTTATTTGCATATCTTCAGCAGCAGCCCCTTCACTGAAGAACCTATTAGACTGTTATAGGAGGCATGCCAAGCAAGTAAATCTCCCGCTGTGTACAGTCCTCGATCAACCGCATATCATTTATCTGAATTTTGGACCAGGTTCTGAAAATAGAGATATACTTCTCTGTGGCAAGCTTGTAATTAGCCATTTGCCTAGTCGCCTGTGAAAGGCCTGATCCATAGGTACATAAAAACAAAATGGCAGAATGGCCTACACTGAACCAGAGAATGGGAGTGATCTCCCGTTTTTTTGTTGTTTTTTAATGATATTGGACAGAAAACCACAAAAACAAATACCGTCAGTGAAAATGCTTCCGACCCAGCCCAGTTTCTAGTTTCTACTTGCAGGAGGCATTTATTTTTATATAGGAAATGTTAAAAATGTCACTTTCCTTTATACATTCAGTCTGAAATGGTACAGTTGACTCATTCTGTGCATGGCTTAGCTGGGCCTTCAAGTATGTGTGTGGGGTTTTCTTGTTTTGTTGGTCAGCTGAATAAGAACAAATTATATTTCTTTTAGGGTTAAGGATATGCTACAAGATTATTTCCATTGGTGTGTATTAGCTGGCAGGCTAATTAATTTAAACAAAAATAGTCATACCCAGTGGTTTTACTTCTTGCTCTTTAATTGCTGTTCCTGAAGGATAAGCTCTTACAGTGAAGGGATCTGTACATGCGGTGCTGTGCTTATGGAGAGCATGGGCTGAGTCAGTTTTATGATATGCTTAGCAATCTCAAGACATTTGAGAGTTGGAAGACATTTACACTTGGATAATTGATCGATGCCTTTATACACTAGAGGTTATATTCTGTGGCTGTGGGCCCATCAGTAAGGAAGGAGGTGCTGTGCTTCCGTCTGTTAATGGAAAAGCTCACCTGGAGTGACTGGAGAAGGCTGGATGGCCACCAAGCAGATGCCCCTCATGTTTTCCACATTCACTCTGCAATGGAGTTAGAAATATAGTGCTAGTTATGTACTGCAATTGTTATCCTTGTTACCCATGTGGATGACAGGAGGATATATCAAAAGTATATCTTCTCCAGAACCTTTCTGTTGCATGTGGCAATCAAACATTCTAGTTTTGTAATCTTCGAACCTTCTTTGTTTGCTCCTTCCTCATTTTCAGAGGCTTTTTGAGAAGTAATTGCTGCTGTTTTGTGTGTTTGCAAGATGTGACTGATGGTGTTTTTGTCCAACCCCCCTTGCTCCAATTCATAGATGCAGAAGATGGCATAGCAACAGATCCAACCTTCCACCAAACTGGAGTCCCTCTGTGCACCGCAGTTGGACTGATGTGAAGCTTTTGTGTTGGACTGAAGAAGCTTGTCCACAGCTTGTCCTGAAATCCATTCTCTCCTAATTCATGAGCCAGCAGGATGTGGTCGCCGTGCTTTCAGAACGCCTTCTCATAGCTGCATACAAAGGACAAGTGGATAATGTTGTGCAGCTTATCAACAAGGGTGCCAAGGTAGCCGTTACCAAGGTAACAAGAGAAAAACTCCTTACAAATTCGCTGAGAACTAACCCTACTCTCAAAACCATTCTCTCTGATAAACGTCCTTCTGGCTTTGAAAATGTAATTGTTCCTGAAAGTGGTGTAGACGAAATTGTTTTTTCCTCTCTTTGGCAGTTGTATTTAAATATGAAATAATTTTCCTTTTCTGCTGTTTTTTTCTCTAAGCAGAAGGTGCAAACAGCTTCTGTTAATCAATGTGCAGAGTTGAACAGGGATGCTTTTATATATAGCTGTGTATGTGTGTGTGTGTGTGTGTGTGTGTGTGTGTGTGTGTGTGTGTGTTTAAATGCCCACTACATTTGTGTTGGCAAAATTAATTCTTCCCATAAGGGAAGAAAAATCAAAATGAAGTTCTATGGGGCTTCCTGAGTGGGGATGAAGGATATGGATAAACATATTAAGTATGTTTCAAAAAGGAAGAGAGAGCATCCTGTTTGGCTTGGGAAATGTTACTTCAGCTCTGTATGATATATATATAAAGAATACTGTTGTGGATAAAAACGGGATTTTCTGATGGCTGGTAACATACCGCAATTGTTATCCTTATTACTCATGGGGATGTCAGAAGGATATATACTGTATTCTGTGTGCATTTATTTATCGTAGTCATACCTCATGTTTGCCCGCAAGGAAACTAAGACAGGTTACACAATCTTCATCTCTATTTTATCTTCACAACAACCTTATGAGGTAGATTAGGCTAAGTCAGTGCAATTTTAGTATATACTGTGCAGTTCTAATATTTTCAGAGTTGCGATTTTAAAGTGCCTTTGTGTAAGATATAGAAAGAAAATTAAGTTTATAAAACTTAGAAATAATCCTCTGAAAAGCGTTCAGGTTTCACCAAAATCTTATTTTGCAATGAAATTGTTTTCCAACCTTTAATGTTTTAAAAAACTGAAAATGTCAAAATATAAACTTTTGCATTGAGGCAACAAGACAATGATCTGAGTTATTTGTAATGGTAAACTATCAAACTATGGTTTGTTGAATCATTGGTTGTTGTCATATGCAAACCTAGAACTGAGTCAACTATGGGTTATTAACCATGAGCAACTCACAAAGGGTGGATTTACATGTCTGCTAAGCCACCCTACTAATAAGCTTTCTTGGACTGGTTGGTCACTCAACAACCAATGTAGATGTGCTATTGATGCCCAAGTTTTTTTTTACTATGTTCTGTTTTAAATGATTTTATTGATTATACACTGTTCTGAGAGCTTTCACACTAATAACAGTATATAAAAGCTTTAAATAAATAAACCAACAGTGCCCTCGGCAGGCTATCATGCTTGTTGTACCTTGCTTGGCCTATCAGTCCCTTTACCACTTCTGGCACATATTCTGGGCACCTATTGATAAGAACTCCTGCTTGGTCCCTACATCAACATGCTCTCTGAAATTGGTTGGCTGGGGATCAGTTTGCCAAATGGAATTAATTTTCAGTGTCCTTATGAATGTGCCAGCTTTGAGTGGAGGTGCAAGGGATTTTGTTCTTGTGCAACACCCCAAGACCAGGTTCCTGACATTTAGCCTAGAATGGTCATATCTCTTTCCTGTCAATGTCATAGTCAATTTTATCTTCCATTTCAGATTTTGCCTTTTCAAAGGCAGCTTCACTTTACACTGAAGTGAGAGCATCCACTCTCAAAGCACTTTCTGTCCAGCCACCTTCAACTCCCCACTTGCCTTCCTGCTTGTCACCGTTGCCAGCTCTTGCATCTGAATATTTGCGATTTCTAGGAATGGGGTACTGAGAAGAAGGAGAACAAGCAAGATCAGGGGATGGCAAGGAATCTCTCTAGTCATTCCCAGCAAACCACAATAAAATTGCCCTGTTGAGTTCAGACAGCACAATAAACCCCATTTACATCAACAAACTTAAAATGTGGGTTCTCAGAGTGGCTGATCACTCATGTTACATTGTAATGTGAACCTGATAAAAGAACTCATGGTTTCATGTTGAGTTGAGAACTGTAGGTTGTTTAAGCCACAGGTGAAATATGGGTTGTTTCTGTCTTGTTTCACCATGTTATAGTGGCAGCGGGCAAGATTGTCCAAAGAACAGCTGCACCGCAGGCCAGCACTGCAACGTTTGAAAGCATGTGGGGTAGAGGGAATGGGTGAAAGAGGTGGGAATGAAACAAACCAGGAATTGGGAAAAAATAACCTGGAATGTATTCAATGGCAGCCAAATCATCAGTTAACTCTGGGTAAGACAACAACCCATAGGTTAATTAAACTATGGGCTGTCATTAGCAAGATGTGCATGACCATGATGGAGAAGAAGCCAGCATGTTTTCTTTTCCCTGCCCGCATGCATGTTGGTTTTGTGTGAGGAATGCATGATTTTCCTCATTGCTCATGTGGCTTGTAGGTTAGAAGCTAGCATGGTGCACAGAGGGGAGGGGGGTAGTTTCTAAACTGCTTCAGAGCCCTACAGCAAGCCATAGGTTTGGGGAGGTTTAGAAGTGACCTCTGTCAAGCATCTTAGTGGGTTTGGATAACATGGGAACCTGTGTTTCATCAGAATAATTAGGCAAATCATGCAGCGCACAACTGACACGGGGATGGGAAAAAGAACCCACTATGGCTTCTTTTCCTTGGGGATTGTATGAACCTACCTACTATGACTATTTCATGTTACCCAGGAGCCAAGGTAATAATTTGGTTCTCCTCCATTCTTCCAGGAGCAGCCTATTTGGGTGTGGCACGCTTGAATATGGCTTAGTGAAATAAACTTATTGGGGCAGAGTTGGAATGGAATTCCAGATAGGTTCCAGTCAGGGCTCTCAGAAGCAACTGCTGTGGCAACCTCTTGGCTTCTGGGCTCAATAGAAACTTCTGGTTTTAACCTTTCAAACCTTCAGTAACTTGGGCCTGTGCAGAGTAGTGACTGAATACAGGCATATAAAAGTTTTGCAGTTGCTACTGTGTCACAACTAGTTACTGTATGGTTATCAATGTAACCTTTACATAGGATTTTAATTTTAAGATTTGCAGCAAGCATTTTCCTTGCCAACCACTCCTGAATATGAAAGAGAGCGAGGTAGTGGAACTTGCTAGGAGATCATAGCAAGAGTTAAGATGCTTCCATAATTTAGTTTTCCCTGGAATCCAGGTCTCTGTGTTACTCAGGCTCTGAGCTCTGTGGCAGAGGAGCCAACCTGTAGCATGGGATCTACAAGTGATACAGATACAGGAGGACTTGTGAGCTTGACTGTGGCTCCCTGCTCTGCTTCTACCTACCTGGCTTGGGAAACTAGAGGTAAAATCAAAGCAAGGTGCATAGAGAGAGGTGTATGTTCTATGGAGTGCCTTTAAGTAGTAGCACTTCATACTCTGGAATTTTGTTTTTGCTTTAATGTCCCAGCTTTCTGGCAGAAATGGTGCTTGTAATATACTCATAAAGAAATGACTTGTAACCACTGGCCAAAAAGGTTGGCCAGCTGTGCTCTATGGTCTTTTTTTGCTTCTGGTATGGAAGGATCGTGGCTACCTCTTTTTCTCTCATATTTTGCTCCTGCTGGTACCTGGACTCTAGCAGCGATTGATACAGTGGATTTCTAGCTTGCAGGTGCCTGACTGCACTTCTGTAAAAACTGTGATTCCTCCCTTGTAGTCCATGACGATCAGATTGGTGTT